TTTTTAATATAAATTTTTTACACTTTATAATGGTATCATTGGGTACATAATTTACATGATTATTTTAATATAGAATGTTATTATTAATATTTTTAAATATTATTATTAACTAAGTGACAAATAAGAACTCGAATATATATTTCATTACTATTATTGATTTAAATAATTATATATTTAACTGTTCAAAAATTATCTTATACTAATTTATTATATAATTAAATATAACATTACATTAGGCATTATGCATGTTATTGCCTCGCATCACCTTGTTAATTACATACTACCATCTTCCTTAACATAAATTTTTCTTATTGCTTCTTCACCAAAATTGTGTTTTTTATTTATACTTATAATACACTTAAGTGAGAAAATGAAATAGATATTAAACTCTTTAAATGCGTCAGTAGCCCTTACACTTAAATTGTTTACTCGATTAATAATTTAATCACGAACTTAGCAATACTGGTCATCCATTCATTTAATTAAATCCTTTAATTGTTTATGTACATGCTAAATAATTACAAGTATTAATACATTTTTATATAGAAAATAAACCGTAAAATTTTTCTGTTTTAAAACATTATGTAATATATAAATACTAATATCAATTCTTTAAATTTAATATGGATAGTTTTAGTATTTAATTTGCCTTACATAAATAAAAATAAAAATATTATTATGTACAATGGATTAATAAAATAGTTTGAAATAATTTATATATAATATATATTATTGAATTTTATTTAAGTTATAATATTATATATAATATATAATATTAAATTTATTTAATTTATAATATTTTATATAATATAAAATATTTTATTTTATTCAATTTATAATATTATACATAAATTATATATAATATTTATGTATAATAAAATATTTTTATACATAACATTTTTAGTACTTTTCTGATCTTGAAAAACATTAGTTTTTTACCATTAGAAAAGTAAAAATAAACACTTAATTTAATTAACATGGAAGAAATGTTCTAAAAGATTTAATATCTCGATAAAAATTTTAAAGTTATTTTTTATATTTAACTTCCATATCTGTTTAATTAATGAATAAATATATCATTATTTTTTATTACGGATCACTTTAATATTATTATTTAACAAATTATTAATAATTCATTTCATATTTAATATCTTAAGATATTTATACAAAGTAATTGTTACTTAATGAAGTTATTAAATTAATTGAATTTCGTATTTAAGTGATTATTTTTTTATTTTATTACTTGTTGATTATATACAAATTTAAGATTAAAGTAGTAAAATGGATTTATTATAATTAAATTCTTTGCTTAGAATTTTAATACAAATTAACTATTTATATATAAGAATTCTATTTAATATATTATTCAAAATATCTATATTTTTAATATTGGTAACTCATCTATTGATTGAAAGCTTTACAAACATTAATAATTTTAATTATAAATTTATATATTAAATAATATATTTACATAATATTTATATATTTATATATTTATATAAATTTATATACTTAATTAGTACATTATTACTACAGTTAAAATAGCTTTATTAAAGTTAATAAATAAAATACATTTAATGAAGATAAGGATATTATAAATCTTTCAAAATTTGAGCAATGGAATTAACCATCGTGTCTATTTGTAATTTAGTTTTCTGGTCGCACTAGATTATAATTGCGAATAACAGAATATATTTTCGTAAATATAAAAGATAAGAGTAACCTCTGCCCTTTTGGCTTAGAAATCTTATTCTCATTGATCCAGTGAACAGAATTTCTTTGATTATGATATAATTTGTAATAATTTTAAAAATTGTTAATTGGTATACAATTGTGTGCATATATATATATATTTTTATTATATTATAAAGCTTTCTCAATGTATCTTAAACATAAATATTTTTTTCATCAAAATATTTGTCACATGTATTAAAAACTTCATCACAAATTATTCATTAGTAAATAAAAGAATAGGACATATTTATAAAGTAATATTTTTAATCATATACTTTTATACGAAATGTCAAATTTAAAATGAGATTTTTTTACAATATATAATATATAGAATGTATATTACTATATATACAATTTATATAATCGAAAAATTTTCTTATTTTACATCGAATATTTTTTATAAAAGTTATATTACCACATGAAATACATGCTACCAATTATTAAATGTTTATATTTCTTTTCTTTTAATTTTCAATTATAAATTTTCTAAAATATTTTCCCTTTAATTGTCAATTATAAATTTTTATAATATTTTAAATAATTATGCATAAATAAATATATCAACGAAATAGTAAATATTTTATGAATATTCTTCGTTTTACTTTATATATAGTTTAAAACTTGTAAATTATATTTATACAATGAAATTATTTATATATAAATATAAATTTTTTTGAAGCTGTTATTTTTGTATAACATAATGAAGACTGAAAAATACAAAAAGATATTTTTTCAATAAAACAAATTTTAAGGAAATAAATGTAGTATCAATTATAATTTGAAATAAATATGCAATATCTAGCATATTAAAAAATTTAGATTTTAAATTGATCGTTAATATAATAATTATTATGTACATTATTACATAATATGATAAATATTATATAAATAACATGTACGTGAATGAATGATGAAATATTATATTAATAATATATGAATTAAATAATTTAAAAAATGTAATTAATAATAAGTATTAATTTAAGAAGTTAAAGAATTAAAATAATTAAATTATTTATCAAATTTACATTATATCAATAAAAATATCGTATGAATATATTTGAAAGACAATATAGCCTTATTTTTTGTTAATTGTTTTATTAAAACTTATAATATTCTTACATAATTTAAAATTTTATTAAAAATTTATGATATGTTTTTATTAAATATATTACAAATAATTGAAATATAAGATTTAGAGTGTAACTTTTATCTTTGTATATACTTTATCAGATGCACGATTAATTTTTTTTTATGATTTGTAAAATAGGCCTTCTAATCTGGTTGAAATAATTCTAATATATAATGTTAATTAAAATAGTAATATTAATTTTTTAATGTAAACTAATGTAAAAATAATATGCATGATCAATTTTACACGAGAACAACATTTGGAAATTGACTTCATCAATAAGTGATAGAACACAATTTATAATCTTTATAATTGTCTCTATAATATTAATTACAATATTATAATCATAATGATAATTATAATGTACTGATGGTTATGGTGATAGTGATGGTAAGGATGACAATGACAATTTTATTAACGATATCGATAACGACGATGATAATAATGCGAATCATTAAATTATATTATACAGCATGTAAAATACATTTATTTCTAATTGAAACTCATCTAAAGTAAAATAACTTCTTTCCTTTATAAATGTAGTTTTTGCGACGTCAGTAGCCTAATTAACTAAATCTAAAGTTTAGCTGCAATTATGATGACGCAAGTATAAATTGATTCACCATTACAATGCGATTTTATACGAATTGTAATAGAGTTAATATTTATTTTTGAAAATAAATATAACTACATTTTTCTGTAATTTACTATATGTACAATACATTATTGTGAAGCAAAAGGTATTAAAATTTAAAATTATATAAGTACATATTGTAGGTAATATCATAATTACAAATTTTTACATATAAAAGTAAAAATTGTACTAGTATAGTATGATTTCAATAAATATTTATATTAGTTAGACCATAATTATATTTGTGTTTTTGAAATTATTTGATAGATTATATATAAAAATTGAATAAATTTATCAAAAAATTAACACTGAAGTAGAAAAAAAAAGTATTATATAATTAAAGGTTTTCAATAAAAGTTTTCATATTAGAATAAAATACACACTGCTATAATATTAATTAAATATAATATAAATGCAAGTGCATATTTATAATCATAATATATCCATAATAATATTAATTATTTTTCTACTTTTCTTTTAATTTAAATACTATTAATTCTTTAAACCTTTTTGTTCTTTTTTTTTTATTTGAAAAAATTCGTACAGTATGTTTGATTCATCGAGAATAACGCATAAAAAGTTGAAGAGATAATTTGAAAAGTAATAGAAATTCATGTCTATATATTCTTGTAAATTATTCCATTTTTCCTATGTTTTCCTTACATTTACTTAAATAATATGTTTTAAACAGTTATATTATAATTATTTTTATTACATTACAAATACAAATTAAATATATTTTATAGTGATATAATAGATAGAAATAGATTTAATTATTATAATATGATATATATTTTCTTAAACTTTTAACTCAAAATATTAATCATTTTAAAAATGTTTTTTTAATTGATTTTTTATTATTATTATAATCAATTATCCTGTGTATTTAATGTATAATATAAATATCATTAGTAAAACTATATATATTATATATTATTATAAAAATTGATTATTTAATATAAAAGTGTATTCAGATTGAAGTACAATAACACCTAGTTATGGGTTTCCATTATTAGTATAAGTAATTATTCATAGTTTGCTTTCTTGGGTTTAGGATCCACGAAACAATTTACTTTGTATTTGTTCATTTGATAACATATTTAATATATATATATATATATATATGTGTGTGTGGGTGTGTGTGTGTGTGTGCGCGCATGCGCGCGCGCGTGTGTGAATTATATTATGATTACAAGATTTAAAATGTTTATTACCTACATTTATGACATATTTTTGGATATTTAATGTAATTATAATAATTATTATTACTTGTTAAATGAACTCTTACACAGTGTACTGTTACAGAAACTTAGTATTCACAAGTTACTACCAATACACCAATATATTCATATAAAATGAAAATCTATACACACCCTCACATATTGCACCATATCCAAGTCTGTACAATTACTGGCTGATAGATCTCGAAAATGGTTCGCAATTCGCAAAAACAACGTAATGAACGAACTCGTCCAATGAATTCGTTCCTCAATATGTCGACAGTGGCGGGGTATGCTGACAACCAGCAACATGAGATCATGAGTGTCTATGGATCAAGAATCATTCGCGAGCAAAAACGGGCGCGACTCAATTCCGATGCTGAGGGGGGCGTGTTTGAATGTGAAGTGGGCGTATCGAAGGCGGACCATAACGTAGAGGCAAAAAATGGCGTCAGTTCTACTAAGGGACAGTTTGTCGCCAGCAGTCGTTTTGAGCGGCAGCAGGTA